AATTTGATAAAGCTTTATCATTTTTTAACCGGTCTGTATCACAGAGATCCTGTTGCAAAAGGTATTGATCAAGCAAATCTATAGTATTCAGTGCTTCATTATGTATAACTTGGCGTATTTCTGTACTATTATCATCATTATCACTTTGATTTTCTTCAGGTTCTAGGTTAGTGGCTAGATTCACTATTTCCTGGTCACCTAACATCTCATGAGTTTCTTTTTCTTCTGGATAGTTAATAAATTTTTCAAGATCCATTATATTTCGAAAATGAAATGCTTCGATATCTTCACGTAATTCTTTTATCAACTCGACATCATCACTATTGTCAAGCATTTCATCATCATTATCATCAAGATCATCTGGATCAATTAGAAGGATTCTTGTATATAAGAGATTGTAAAATTACCAGAATTTTGTATTATTTTATGTAATTTTACAATAAGTTTCAGTAATTCTTATTATTTAACAAGATAAAAATTACATAAAACTTGATTACTAAAACTTGTATAAAGTTACATATATTGTTACTGGTAAAATTTAAAATTTTTGCCATGTTGAATGACATATCATTTAACATGGCGAAATTTTAAATTTTACTAGTGTGTAAGATAATAACATTCGTAATATAATTTTACCAGTATGTCGAAAGCAATTAGACACAGTTTCTGATAATACTTCTTTCTATAATTTTACTATAAATCTAATAGTATTAAAAACATTTAATTTATTATCTTTTCTGGATTTATATTGATCAAATAACTATTTTAAATAACTTTTGTAGCAACACTTAAAAGACATAATGATACTAGCATCCAGAGGTTAAATATGAGATGTTGTGTTTGGTAGAAGAATATGAACAGTTGTGTTTCAAAAATTTAAATTGCTGTATTTATGGACTGTTGCACCATCCATCAAGAAAATCACCATGCGACCAGCCATTTTCAAATCGAATTTCTTAAGCTATTCTTGAAATAATACTATTGTCATCCATGCATTAGCACTATTTCCATATTTTACACCAAGTTTG